CGCTGAGATTGCTAAATGAATACATATCGTTTCTTTTCGCTCGAGACGCTACGTTTCGCTGAACGCTTGAGGCACTGAAAATGTTAGGTGATCCATAATTTCCTTCTCGCCCAGAACGCTCAATCATCGACGAAAATTATGAGAGCTGCCTTAAAATATTTTTCTAATGTTCAGAGTTCCGTTCACAGTCGCCTCCTACTCACTCAACTCGCAGAACTTCGCGACGACTCTCGGTTGTGTGATGTTGCTTTGGTGGTCAAGGTATTCTCTTCTGTATGTTGGACGATCCAGAGTAGTCAATTGAATAGTCTTCCAGGGCACACGAATCAATGCCCATCGGCTTGTGCTTACTGCATGTTCAAGCTACTTCAAAGCTATGTTCACCAACGAGATGGCTGAAAGCCGACTGCGTAAGTTGTCATTGTAAAGTATGCTTCTAATGGCTAATCTTCACTCAAACCGTGATATTAATGGGCATTTCGGCTTGGTAAGGGTATTTTGTGAGTTGAATTGCGCGTTGCACCTTCGTAACAAATGTAGACTCTTGCTAAGGGTTAACGAAATTTCTCTATTGCACAGCTTCTCAAGAGTCACAGGCCTTTATAGGGGACATCTGCAGCGATCGATCGATGAAATCCAGGAGGTGCTCCCACCAAGCCGTAAGGCGCCGGTTGTTTGAGGCCCCCAAAGGGTTTATGGTGTTTTTTTTATTATTTATTTTTCACAGAGGAAATTGAAATGGTCGATATGGAGGCCTCGACACTTGATGCATTGGTTAATTTCTGCTATTCTGGTGAGATAAAGATAAGTGATGCGAATGTCCAGAGCATTTTGCCCGCTGCTTGTCTGCTTCAGTTAATTGAAGTGCAGGTTAGGTTGCCGATGATGAAGTCTCCGACTCGCTCGGTTATTTAGCATTGCTATATTTTTCTTACTTGTAGGAGGTGTGTTGTGAGTTCTTAAAGAAGCAGTTGGATCCTTCAAACTGTCTGGGAATTCGAGCATTTGCCGATACTCATGCATGTCGGGAGTTGCTCCGAAGCGCTGACAAGTATACGTTACACAACTTCCAGGTCACTAAAATGTTACTTCGAGTTTATGCTCCGCGAATAAATAGCTCTTCTGCGTTTAGGATGTCGTTGGCACTGAAGAGTTTCTTATGCTTCCTATTAATCAATTGATTGAACTTATTTCAAGTGAAGAGCTTCACGTGCGATCCGAAGAGCAGGTATTTACGCAACGTTTCCACATAAAAGCACAAATCCATTCAGAGCCCTTATTTCCCTGCACAGATCATCCAATAAATATGTAATCACTTTTCAGGTTTTCGCAGCAGTGGTTCAATGGGTCAGATTCGACTTGCCAGCTCGAAAACAGCTCCTTCCAAAGGTGACAGTAAATGTTTATTAGCGCTTCATAGATGTTTCAGTTAGTCGTTTTGCAGCTGCTCGAGCATGTACGTCTTCCACTTTGTCATCCTAAATTTCTTGTCAGCACTGTTAGTGAAGACGCACTGGTCAAGGCGGACGCAGCATGTCGAGATCTTGTTGATGAAGCAAAAGTTGGTCTTGTTTCCCGAAGGTTTACCTGAAAAGCCTACTATTTTTTAGTTCTTTGCCGTTTCAGAACTACCTACTACTGCCGCTCGAACGACCGAATATGCAGGGGCCACGAACGCGACCTCGAAAACCGATCAAATTTGGAGAAGTGTTATACGCAGGTATTAAGAATTATCCTGCCTTTTCCCCGTTCAAAACTAATTAGAGGAATAGAATTTTCAAAAAGACTATGGAACTTTGAATGGAGACCTAGGTGTGTCGATAGGGCCACATTGCAGCACCAGTGGAGGGTGCCACGTTGAGCCTGGCAAGCTATGCGTGGTCAAATTTTTTAAAACAAAACAGTAATAAATATGGGCCTCATTCCCCTGAACCTGAGGGAACCACCGACAGGGCGACGTCGGCTGGGACCGCTCGGGCGAGGCTGCAAGAATCACAGGGCCAACGGAGATTTAAGTCGCCCAGGACTAGGATGACGATCTGTACTTTCAACGCACGGACGCTTGCATCGGAAGCTCACATCGAAGATCTGATGTTGCAAGCCAGGAAGATCAAGTACGACGTCATCGGACTGACCGAGACGAGGAGGCATCGCCCGCTACACGCCGTACGAGACTGGAGAAGAACTGTTCCTCGGAACATGCGACAGCAGAGGCGTTGGCGGTGTGGGCGTCCTCGTCAACACGCACTTGGCCATGAACATCGATTCGTACGAAAATCTGACGACCCGAATCGGACGTTGAGAAGATGTGGTTCAACTCCAGCTTTGACAATCTTCGTCGCCTATGCACCATCAAGCTACGACGAGGATGAGCTTGAAGAATTAGGTTCTACAAGGAAGACCTTACCTCCTTCAAGGTCATAGTCGGTGATTTCCACGCGGACAGAACGGACAAAGAAGAACGGTTAAAGAACTTCATATCGGACTCACAGAATGGAGCGAATTGAGAGACAGTCTGAGTTTATCATGACCTCAAACCATCCATGGTAACTCGCAGTTCCAGAAGCCCTACTCTCTACGCTGGACATGGGAGTCTCCTGGTGGACAATTCCATAATGAGATCGACCACATCATCTTCAATCGAAGGTTTTGCCTGACCGATGTCGCTGTTGTTCCTAAGTTCTACACGGGATCCGAACACCGTCTACTTCGCGCAGGATTCCGCCGAAGTCCCAAGACCGTCATCAATTAAGATCACTTCACATGTCTCGCTGACTCTGGGAGAATTCCATCTTCGACAACACGGCGAAGAAGACGAACGGCTGGTCAAACATCTCCCTGTCTGCATCAAGAAGTCAGAGAGTTCCAAGATTACCAAGAAGCGTCTATC